TCAGCAGGACTGGGGTGACAGCCGAGGGTTAATTCCAGGGCTCAAGATCCAGACTGGATAGAAGCAGAGTAGGTCTCTCTCTCACACACACACTCTTCCTTATGCCCTACTCTGTGCCTTAAATCAGGGCTGTCCAACCTTGGCAACTTTTAAGACTTGTGGACTTCAACTCCCAGAATTCCCCAGCCAGCAGGGCTTTGATGGATCTCATATTCCAGCTTTCAAATACCGCATTTTCCCTGAAAATAAGACCCAACTGGAAAATAAGCCCTAACATGATTTTTCAGGATGCTCGTAATATAAGCCCTACCGTAAAAATTAAGCCCAGTTAAGATTGTCAGCCAGGTGGATGCATTTAGTACCGTATTTCCCTGAAAATAAGGCCTAACAGGAAAGTAAGCCCTAATGCATCTTTTGGAGCAAAAATTTGTAAGATCCGGTCTTATTTTCGGGGAAACACGGGGTATGTCAGTAATATATGGCATAAAGCTACTCATTACTAGTGACACATTGGCTTCAATACAGGTAGTCCTCAAGAGTTCATTTAGTGACTATTCAAAGTTACAATCGTACTAAGTAACTGATGACCATTTTTCACACTTACAACCATTACAGAATCTCCAATGATCAGGGGATCAAAATTCAAATGCTTGGCAACTGGGGAAGCCAGATTCATTCAACAAATGCAGTGATTCACTTAACAAATGCAGTGATTCACTTAACAAGAAGTGGCAAGAAAGGTTCTAAAATAGGACAAAATTCACTTGTCTCATTTAGCAACAAAAACATGGGCTCAACTGTAGTCGTAAATCGAGGACTACCTATATTCATGGTTGACATGGTCTAAATATATTCCCAACCTGTAGTAAATTCTATCATCTCATAGCTGGGGTTTTTTTTTTTTTTGTCTTTATCTCCGATGTATATTATTATTTGTGAAATGCTACAGAATTTTTTTTTAATCTCCGTGTGTTTGTTTTGCAAATCTGGAGTTCCTTTTTTTGTCTACTTGGGGCTTCTTGAACAAAATTACTTTTTCTTCTAATTTTTCTCATGGGGCGCTCAGCCATTGATGGGAGGGACCTTTCCAGAGGTAGATGATGTCTCCTGATTTTGGGGGATTTGTGATTTTGAATAAACACTGAGCACATTATGTTACAGCTTTTTATTTTAATTCTCTTCCCAGTACGGCTGGAAGAGCTATGTGGGAAACGGAATGGCATTTTCCTCGGATTTCACTAAGATTGCTGCTGGGCAGTCGGACAATATAATCTTTTGTGTACAAAATTGAGGAAGATGGAAAGTGCCCTCGGAATGGGAGAACTCGCCACGGCCGTCTTCCCGCGAGACAATTCAACAATTCAGAACAGGGCAGAATGAGAGAGTTGGAAGGGACCTTGGAGGTCTTCTAGTCCAATCCCTTGCTCAGGCAGGAAGGCCTGCACCACTTCAGACAACTTAATTATCCAACTGGATTATTTAAACTTCAATTCAGTGTAATTATTCAATTGAATTAGTTAAAATTTAAAATTTTTGCCCGTTCACGTTTCGTTTTGTCCCTCTTTGGCATCCGTTCTTGAATGATTCTATTCCACTGTTTCTTCGCTATTAATGTAACTCTTGTCCCGCAGGGAGCTGGCCGTGGGGAGCTGTCCTAGACCAGGGGCATTGGGAAGGGTAGGGTAGGATCAAAAAGGGAGATTCGTTCTTTGAAATGATACTACGGTAGGTTGTGTTGTATTGCTAGCCCTTCAGTTACTAGGGATGTGGCTGAAGGTAGCTGGCTGGAGAATTCTGGGAGTTGAAGTCCACCCCTCTTAAAGTTGCCAAAGTTGAGAACCGCCGGTCTAATCAAACCCCTGAAAATAAAAACAGGCATCAAGGAAGTTGTAGACAAAGACAACTGAAATCCCATCTCTTTGTAGTAAACAGACCTCATCCCATCAGCCTCTTACAACGTCTTCCCACAGAGAAAAGGACGGAGAATCCCATTTAAGTCCTTCATTTTTAAACATCCCAATGATTAGGAAGGGACCAACGGTGCGGGCCATCCCGTGTACCAGCTAGCATCCCAAAGACAAAATAAACGGGGTCCACGGTGCCCTCTGAGCTGCGTTGTTTTCTTGCAGACGTTTCATTACCCAACTAGGTAATGTCATCAGTGCTAGAAGGGAGCGAGGTATGCTCTCTGTATATATACACAAGTGATTTGGATAGAATATTCGTAGCTCTGGGTTGAACTGTGGGGTCCTTGGTGCTCTCCAAGTTTGGTTGTTTCCTTGCAGACTTTCATGATTCAGTTAGGTGACATTGTCAGTGCTAGGAGGGAGGAGGAGGAGGAAGATTGTGGGGTCCTTAGTGCTTTTAGAGCTTGGAGGTTTTCTTGCAGATGTTTCATTACCCAACCAGGGAACGTCATCAGTGCTAGGAGAGAGTGGGTGTGTGGAGTGGAAGAGGAGGAGAAATGTGGAGTCCCTGGTGCTACTCTGAGCTTGGATGTTATCTTGTAGATGTTTCATGACTCAACTAGGGAACATCATCAGTGCTAGAAGGGAGTGGGGTTTACTCTCTATAAAACAAGAGCCCTTTCTTGTAGCACTGACGACGTAACCTAGTCGGGTGATGAAATGTCTGCAAGGAAACCACCAAACTCAGGGAGCACCAAGGACCCCCCGTTTCAACCCTGAGCTGCAAACATTCCCTTCTATCGGTACAAAACAGGTACCCCAAGTAGCGACGCTGACCAACAGCTTCTGGATTCAGTGCCCTGGTCCTGATCCAAACACCAGAAACACCAAACTAAAAACCGGAGCAGAGGAGAACGTCCGGACTGTGCGACCAGCCCCGTCACCCGTCTCGTAATCCAGCAACGTAGACTCCGCGGCAGGCAGACGCGCTCTGTGACGTGCGGAGGGAAGCACCCGTTTAGTGACCGCGAATGAGAAGAAGCAGCTGGGCTTCCCACCCGAAATGTGGCTGTTGTGCAGCGTGGGCCGGTGGTGAGGGGAGTGAAGAAGCCCCCTCCCCAGCTTTGGCGAAAGAGAGGCCCCCTCCGTCCGGGTGACCGCTGCCTCCTGGCCGGCAGGGAGGGGAGGAAGGTTAGACCAGAGACATGCATTCCTGAAAAGAGGCGCTGGAGGTACTGTACCTGGGCCACACCTGTGACAGTTAAAGCTACCCCCTCCGCCGTCTCTACGTCCTCGCACCTGGGCTGTAACGTCATTATCTCTAGGGAAATCCTGCCAAGAGACGTAAAATATTGGCGCGTTTCCAGGTGGCTGGCCCAGCTCTCCCCTTCTCGGCTCAGGGGGGGCCACCTGCTGTGGGGGATCCAAGGTAATGCGGAGGCTTTTGTGGGGTGACCAGGCTGCCGGTCTCCTTCAGCCGACCCCACCCCTTACAAAAGGGAGGCTTGTGGGAGGGCGGCATTCCGTTCACCACGGGGATTGTGAGATGCTGCTGGGGGTGGGAAGGGGGGGGGCACAAAGGTCTGACCTGCAGGCCCTACGGCAGCTTCTCCCCTCTCTGGCAAGCTCCCCCAAAAGGGTTGCTCGGTGGTCCTGAAGTTGAAGGATGGATAGATGGATGGCCCCAAAGGCACCAACAGTTCCTGCCTAGCTTCAACCCTATAGTTAAGAGGAGCCACAGCAGGGTACCCTTCCCTGGTCCTGAAAATCAAGGACACCCCCCCCTCCGCGCCCCTTTTAATAAAGAGAGTAGATGGCCCTGGTAAGCCATGTGTGAATCTGCCTGATCTGGAAGATTTCCTGCTGTCTGATACTGGTTTCCATTGTTTCATCTTGTATGTCTATCGTTAAGCAATGTTAAAAGACTACGGACTTCAACTCCCAGAATTCCCTAGGGCAGAGGTCTTCAAAGTTGGCCGCTTTAAGACTTGTGGACTTCAACTCCCAGAATTCTCCAGCCCAGCTATGCTGGAGAATTCTGGGAGTTGAAGTCCACAAGTCTTAAAGCGGCCAACTTTGAAGACCCCTGCCCTAAGGAGTGTGGGGCACTTTTACAATCCATCTGGCCCTTTGGCTGTCCCTGTCTGGCCTCCGTGGGTTGCCTTTAATTTGAAAGCAATTATTATTATTATTATTTTCAATTTACGTACAGGTAGTCCTCGACTAACGACAGTTCCTTTAGTGACCGAAGTCACATTGGGGCTGAAAAAAGTCTTCATCATCCCAGCACCTCCAGGGTCACGTCGTCAAAATTCAGACGTTTGGAAACTGACCGGTTATTTATGACGGTTTGCCGGTGATCTTGGGATCACGTTTGCCACCTTCTGACGAGCCAAGCCCAGGGGGAAACCAGATCCCCTTCGCAACCGTGTGATTCGCTTAGCAACTGCAGGGATCCGCTTAACGACGCTGGCAAGGAAGGTCGTAAAAGGGGGCAAAGCTCACGTAACAACTGTCTAGCAATAGGGCCCGTGTGTGCAGGACCTGTGTCTTCCTTTTTTTCCCCAACGTACACGTGTGCGTGTGTGCCTACGCAACTTCACAGCCCGATTGCTTCCGCTCTCCGCCACAATCCCAGGTTTTTGATGTGGCTCCTTGGGAAAATTGCCCACCCTTGCCCCAGATTGACGGGTGTCTCCTGGGCCAAAGAGACCCACGCTGGCAGGTCTGAAGAAACCTGCCCATTTTGGACCTAGTGCGGGGTGGCACAGTTTGCCCCGGGGTTCAGCTGCTGCCCCCAGACACCTGGGTCATGTGGTGCTGTGTCAGGTTTGCGAAGCGAGTGGCAGCCACGTTCCCACCGAGACACGGAGCGTTCCCCATGCGCCTCTCTGGATTACCATGGAGGGCAACAGCAGGTAGCCAGAGCCAGAGCCAGAAGGGGGGTGGGTGGGAGGGAGGAAAGGCGAGAGGACCGGCCAGGAGGGGCGGGGAGGAGGGCCTTCGGCTGCTTTGCTGCTGCTGTGCTGCGTGGGACAGAAGGAGGCAAGACGAGAAGGGTTAGGCAGACGTGGGAAGCGGGAGGATTATTACCTGAGCGACCCCCGTTACGTACAGTGGCACCCCCTCCGACGTCTCAATATTCTCACAGCGACATAGGATGGTCATGACTTCCAAAGACAGTCTGAGCAGCGATAAATAAGGGTGGGACACACCAAACACACAAAGGCGGTTACCAGAGAGAACAGAAGACCCCTCGCCGAGAGAAAAGACGGGGCTTTGTGCGTTTTTTTTGGGGGGGGGGGAGGGAGGGAGGAAAATGGGCGTTTCAGGGCAGGAGGTGTGTGTGTGTGTGTGGGTGGGTGCTTGGCTTTGTGGGGTGTGCTACGATAGGGGCCCCAAAGGGGGAGATCAGCCTTTCCAACAGGGCCCAGGCAGAGGGAAGACTCCCCTTTGTGGTCTTACGTCCAGGAGGGGAGGGCATTGGGGTGCAGGAAGCTCTGAAAGGATCAGGCCCCTTGGTGGGAATCTCCTCCAGAGACTAATCCAGCTTTGATGTCTCTTTCCGGGCACCCCAACTCTGGTGCAATGGATGGCGACGAATGGATAGACCAAGGAGGAGAAGCAACCTGGAACTAAGGAGTTGGGTCCTGACCGTGAGAATGATTACTCCTTGGAACGACAACTTGCCTCCAGTCCGTTGTGGGGGCTCCAAAACTGGAGGCTTCTAAAGAGAGACTGAACAGCCCCTTGTCTGAAATGGTGTAAGGGTCCCCTGCTTGAGCAGGGGCTGGACTAGAAGTCCTTTAAGGTCCCTTCCAACTCTCTTATTCTGTTAATTAGTCAGCGGAATGACTTGCTTTCAGAAGTTGTGGGTGCTCCAATGCTGGAGGCTTTTAAGGCTTTGCGAATTTTAAGACTTGTGGACTTCAGCTCCCAGAATTCCCCAGCCAGTTTAGCTTAGGTGGCTGGGGAATTCTGGGAGTTGAAGTCCACAAGTCTTAAAATTCGCAAAGGTGGACACTACTCCATTCCGGACAAATGGCTGTCCGGTCTCTTGTGATGGATCTCCCCCAACTTCTTGGAGGCAAGCCCTTGCACTGGCTAATTGTTCCAATGAATTCTTTCCGTGTGCAACGACACAATCTGGGCCAATGGCCTCCCGCACGGAGGGAGGGAGGAGGGAGGAAGAGCCACGGGTGACCCCACCCAGCTCAAGCTGGATGGAGTGGCTGCCTCTCGGTCTAATCCTCCTGCCTGTCTGTCCGTCTCTCCTAGCAGAGCAGAGGCCGGATGCCGCCACCACCCTGGGGCCTCCAGGCGGGCTTGGAAGGGCAGTCCTGGCAGCTGAAGGGGAGAGAGAGTCCTGCCAAGCACAAGTTGGCAAGGATCTCTGATCCTTCCTGGAAGCCGGGGAGGTCCCCTGTTCCCTTCCTGCTTCCCCCATTTTCCCAGGCAAAAGAAGAATAAAAAAAAAGGGGGGGGGCAAATCCGTTCATCCCTTCTTCCTCTGCCCGGGTTCCCTGAGAGCAGGAAGGGAAGGGGAAGGAAGGCGAGGGGCTGCTGTCCCCCTGCAGAAGGGGGCCTGGAGGGGGGCTGCTTCAGAGGAAGGGGCATCAAGGACTGGGAGACGGAGCCCTCCCTGCTCTGCGGATGTGTTCCCAAGTGCCAGCATTGGAGACTTTGCAAAGGGGACCCTAGAAATCTCAGAGGAAGCTTTCAGGGGCCCCCCTTGCTCCTTGCCCTCCGTGGGAGGAGGCCTTCCCCCCACCAGTCTTGGGGTCCTCCCCGGGAAACCCAGAGCCTCGTCTTTTTCTGTGTTAGTACAAGCAGAAGGGGGAGGAGACCCCCCCAACCCCCAGGCACACCATCCCGTGCTGCAAAGCCTGGCCCATCACCCAGGACGCTTCACACAGCAGAAAGGACGGCACCAACACACAAAGGGGCTCCAGAGGTTGCACAGGAGACACTCAGGGAGGGAAGGAAGGAAGGAAGGAGAGGATGGGTGAGAGGGAGAAAAGACAGAAGAGGAAGAGGAGGAAAGGAAGGAAGAAAAGGAGAGAATGGGATGGGATGGGATAGGATGGGAGAGAGGGGAGAAAAAAGGGACAGAAGAGGAAGGAAGGAAGAAAAGGAGAGGAGAGGATGGGATAGGAGAGAGGGAGAAAAGACAGAAGAAGAAGAGAAGGAAAGAAGAAAAGGAGAGGAGAGGATGGATGGGATGGGAGAGAGGGAGAAAGGACAGAAGAGGAAGAGGAGGGAAGGAAGGAAGGAAGGAAGGGAAGGAAAGGAAGGAAAGGAGAGGAGAGGAGAAGGAGAGGAGGGGAGGGAGATAGGATAGGATAGGGTAGGATAGGATGGGAGAGAGGGAGAAAGGACAGAAGAGGAAGAGGAGGGAAGGAAGGAAGGAAGGAAGGAAGGAAGGAAGGAAAGGAAGGAAAGGAGAGGAGAGGAGAGGAGGGGAGGGGATAGGATAGGATAGGGTAGGATAGGATGGAGAGAGGGAGAAAGGACAGAAGAGGAAGAGGAGGGATGGAGGAAGGGAGACAGAAAGGAAGCAAAGCAAGCAAGCCTCCCATCTGGGCTGGCCCCAAGCCACTGAATGCCAGCCCATTAGGTGCAAAAGACAATCCTGCCCATCAGAAGCGCCAAGCCCCCCTACTGGCTCTGAAGAGCAACACCTTTACAACTGGGAGCAGCCTTGCTCGTGGGTTGCGTGGTGTGACGAGAGGAAAAAAAAAAAAGCCAAGGAAAACTAACTCATCCCTCAGCCTGCACAACTGAGGCACATTTACCTCTGGGGTTAAAAACAAGGTGAAGGTTAGCATTAGGTAAAAGGAATCTCCAGTTTTGGGGAAACGGGGCTTCCAAGCTTTGGGGGGAAGCAAAATACACCCGTTATGCTCTAAGAAATGAAGCAAATTCATCCAAAAACATGCTTTCGTGTTGACTAGGATGTTTTAAAAGGTTTCCAGCCTGGCCGCAGCCTGGAGGGTTCTTAAAAGTCACACGGTTTGGTCTCTTGGGAAAAAGTAGCAATTAAAAGATAGGTGTGAAGTTGAATTAAGACTCCTAAATACGGAATTTCACCTTTTAGGAGGAACTCACTGGCTGCTCTGAGCCTGGGACCCGGCAAAGATCATGATTTCACATGGATGAAGTTTAAACTCCTGATTTTAAGGAAATGGACTCAAGATGCACGTTCTTTAAAACAATTAGTTTTTGAAACGTCTGGTCTCTTCTTGAGGGAGTCGGGGGGTCTAGAAATGCGGAATATAAACAAATAAATATATAGATCAGAGGTGGCCAAGCTTGGCGACTTAAAGACCTGTGGACTTCAACTCCCAGAATTCCCCAGAGTTGAAGTCCACAAGTCTGAAAATTGCCAAACTTGGACATAAGATCTGATCTAGATCCCACCAAGGATATGAAGAAATTGATTTTTACATGATCTACATTTAATAACGTTCAGAGGTGAATTAATGCTATATCGATATATAGATTTTTCTTCCTTCTAAATTCTTTGTTTCCCTCCAGGCATTTAGCTTCTTTGAATTCCTGCAATGAATGCAGGCGGTTTCTTCCTGTATTATCCCTGATGTAGATTTTCTTACACTTCACTAAAATGAAATTATAAGCAAACCTCCCGTGTTAATAACGAAGGCCGAAGTCATCCTAGTTTATATTTATTTATATATATTTATATTTGCATATTCTTTCTAGCCAGGTTTTACCTACGTAAGCTAAGTTGTTCCACAGCCCTAGTTCTGTGAAATCTCATTCACAAGTTTCTGGGCTTTTTGTATCTTGCTGAAAAGCAACAACTTTGCAATTTGGGAGACAGAGTTGTTGCTTTTCAGCAAGATACAAAAAGCCCAGAAACTTGTGAATGAGATTTCACAGAACTAGGGCTGTGGAACAACTTAGCTTACGTAGGTAAAACCTGGCTAGAAAGAATATGCACATAAAAGCCTACAAAAAAGAAAAAGACATATTTATATTTATTTATTTATTTATACATACAGGTAGTCCTTGACTTAGAACCATTCGTTTAGTGACCATTCGAAGCTACACGAGCAACTGAAAAAAAAAAGGCATTTATGACCGTTTTTCACGCTTAACGACCGTCGCAGTATCCCCGCAGTCACGTGATCAAAGTTCGAGGCTTGGCAACTGACTCATATTTATGACGGCTTGCAGTGTCCCGGAGGTCACGTGACCTCCCCTTTTGCGACCTGCTGACCAACAAAATCAATGGGAAGGCCAGATTCACTTAACAACCTAACAACTGCAACGATTCACTTAACGACTGCGGCACAAAAGGCCGTCAAACGGGGCAAAACTCACTTCATAACCGTCTCTCTTAGCCACGGAGGTTTTGGCTCAGTTACGGTCATAAGTTGAGGACTACCTGTATTTCATATTTCTTAACCTCAGATCTCCCTAACATGATGGTATTATTGGTCATTATCCTGTCCTAATGATATTGAGGTCCAAAGAGCTTCATTTTTGGGGCTGCAGGAGAGAAAGGGGGAGCCTTCTCCTCCTGGTTCGGTGCTTCTGCAGGGGCTGCTGTTCTGTTCCGGTGCTAAATCCCGGGAACAAATCTCAGTGGTCACACAGTCACTCATGCCCTCGTCACCTCCCGCCTGGACTATTGCAATGCTCTCTACATGGGGCTCCCCTTGAGGAGCACCCGGAGGCTCCAACTGGCGCAGAGTGCGGACGCGTGGGTGGTTATGGGAGCAACATGGCGCTCCCATGTAACACCCCTCCTGCGCGAGCTTCACTGGCTCCCGGTGGTCTTCCGGGTGCGCTTCAAGGTTCTGGTTACCACCTTTAAAGCACTCCATGGCTCAGGACCTGGCTACTTACGGGACCGCCTACTACCACAAACAGCTTCCCACCGGCCAGTACGCTCTCATAGAGAGGGGCTCCTCCGGGTGCCGTCGGCCAAACAATGTCGACTGGCGGCCCCCAGGGGGAGGGCCTTCTCTGTGGGGGCACCTACCGTCTGAAATGAGCTCCCCCCGGAGATACGGAGGATCCCGGATCTGCGCACTTTCCACCGTGCTCTTAAGACCCTCCTATTCCAGCAAGCCGGCCTGGCCTAATTTTCTCCCCTTTTTAAAAATTCTTTAAATCGAAATTTTAATCTGTTTTAAATTATTGGGATTTTTAATTGTCTCGGGCTAAATTATTTAATCTGGGTTTAATTATGTTTCTAACTTTTGTATCTATGTATTTTATTCTGTGCCTGTTCACCGTCCTGAGTCCTTCGGGAGTAGGGCGGTATATAAATTTAATAAAAACAAAACAAACGAGTGGTCAGCACCAGGGGGTCAGCCTCCCCTCCCTTGGCACAGGGAGGAATTTTTCAATCCCAGGATGGACAGAAGGAAGGACGCTGTGTCCGGGGATGGCAATGGGAAGGTGCTTTTTTTGAAGAGGCAATTGGACTTTCTGGTTTTTTCTTTGACGACATTTCGCTTCTCATCCCAGAAGCTTCTTCGGCTCTGACCAGATGGTGGGAAGGGAAGGACTGATACTCCTTGCAGACAGAGCTGGTCATTTGCATCCTTTTTTGAGGGTCATTGAGGCCACTTGGAGGCTTAGCTGTGTCCTCAGGGCCACCAGAGTGGTGCAAGTGGATGTGTGGAGCCTTCTTGGCTGGAAATGTTTTCTGCCCTGTGTCCCTTCACTATGTCCAGTCTACAAAAGAGTTCCAAGAAGGCTCCACCCCATTTGCACCACTCAGGTGACCCTGAAGACACAGGTAAACCTCCAGGTGGCCTCAACTATCTTCTCAAAGGATGCAAACGACCAGCTGTCTGCAAGGAGTATCAATCCTTCCCTTCCCCACCATCCAGTCAGAGCCGGAGAAGCTTCTTGGATGAGAAGGGAAATGTCTTCAAAGAAAAAACAGAAAGTCCAGTTGCCTCTTGGAAAAAAAAAAAAAAACACCGTTGGGACACCAACAGCTTGTTCTTCCCTGGCAAAACTGCCGGACGACTCAGTATACGGATCGAGGAATTGTTTTCTTCACCACAAGGTCTTTTTTAGGGGACTCTAGCTCAACTCCAAGGAAAGCTCTCCGCTGCCATCCCAGAGGAGAACCACTGGGGTATTAAATTGGCCCTCAAATCTGATTATAATTTTAATAGTGGGTAGTCCTCGACTTACAACCAAAATCAGGACCACCATTTCCACCAATGGTTGTTAAGCGAGTCTCGCCTGATCTTTTCTGCCAGGGTTTTTAAGCGGATCACGCCGTCATTAAGCAAATCCGGGTCTCCCCATTGAGTTTGCTTGTCGGAAGCCAGCTGGGAAGGTTACCAATGGCATTCACAAGACCCCCCAAGACAGTGCAACCGTCGTAAATACAGGTCGGTTGCAAGTGCCCGAATTTTGTTCATGCGACGGTGTCACAGCTGTAAGTGTGAGGATCGGTTCTAAGTTATCTTTCTCGGGGCCTGATTGGGGTAAATTGCAGGGATGATAAAGACATATAATTTTATCTCGTTTTATTCTATTTTATATATTTATGTATTAAATTATTGTATTTCATCCTATAACTAATGTATTTTACCCTACTCTCATTTAAATTGTTTAGAATTTTATTGGTAATATGTGTTTGAACCTGTACGTTGATATGACCTATAAGCCTGCCTATCTATCTATCTATCTATCTATCTATCTATCTATCTATCTATCTAATCTTTCACCAGTGCTGTTCTAACTTCCAACGGTCACTAAGTGACTCGCTGTGTGTGCCTCAAACATGGCCATTTAAACATTGCAGTGCTTTTGAGGCAGGCAATCGTGACTGGGGGGGGGGGATTTTTCCCGTTTCCCCACCCACCCACCCAGAAAGTGGACACGCCCCCAGAAGGGGTTCCGGCACCCAGAATGCCTGGAAGCCCTTCCTTGTCTATGGACAGGGTGGGTGGGTGACCTCCCCCTCAAGACCACAGTGCTGGGCTTGGTCTAAGACAGGGGTCTCCAACCTTGGCAACTTTATGTCTTGTGGACTTCAACTCCCACAGTTCCTCAGCCAGCAAAGCTGGCTGAGGAACTCTGGGAGTTGAAGTCCACAAGTCTTAAAGTTGCCAAGGTTGGAGACCCCTGGTCTAAGAGATTTGGCCCCCGCCTGCAGGGTTCAGGGTCTGCATGATGGCTGGGCGAAGCATATCTGCACCCCATTTCTGGAGGGTCTTTGCAGCTGGGGGAACTCTGAAAGGGTCCTGCCTCTCCCCCCACCCCCAATAAATGGCTCCATCCTTCCGTTCTCTTCCCAGCGTGAAGGCTGGAGGCCGGCTGCCAAGGGAGAAAGCCAAGGGATGCAGAGGTTCAGGACAGGTGGGTCCAACAGGAGCCGAGAGGCACCAGCATCTTGCCAAGGTGCCCGTCGTACTTATAGGGCTGCCCCCCCGCCCCTGCCCCACACGTCACAACAAAGGCATGCCACATCTAGGGAGAGAGAGAGGAGGGGAGGGAGGGAGGGTCCTACCTCTGGGTGTCAGAAATGCACCACCAGGCCCAGGCCCAGCCGCCGTAGATGTACTGCTTGTTATCAGAACCACAACAGCCGCCTGCAGGGGAAAAGCAGAGAACAGGCGTGGCAAATGACGACTGAGAAAAAGCGACCCCACTCTTATGATATTTATGGGTTCTATTATTTTTATACATAACACAAAAGCAGAAAGCATTTTGATCGTGGCCAAAATTGTGGAAACCTTTTGGGAAAAGTGTATTTTTGAGGTTTGATGGCTAAGAGCATCCCTTTTTTTTTTTTTTTTGGAGTTTCAAGATAATCCTATTCCACTGCTGGAATGGCCTGGGAATAATAGCCCAGACCTTCACCCAATGGAAAATCTAGGGAGCCGGCTAAAGAAACTTGTTAGTCAGAAGCAACCCAGCCATAAAACCCAGTTAATCGAAGCCATCCTTCAATCTTGGTTTCACATGATAACAGCTGGAGAACTAAAAGACTTAGTTTACTCCATGGGAAGACGTTGTAAGGCCGTCATTCATGCTAAAGGATTAACTGACATGGGGATCATTTTTGTATATCTCGTTTTTTCTATGGTGATAATTTTTGCATATCTCATTTTTTTCTATGTGTTTCACTTTTATTCTTTATACTGTAACTACTATTTTAATAGCAAATCCTTCATAAAAGTTATTGCATTACATTCTTGATTAAATCATCTTTCCATTGATATATAATTTTAGGGTACTACTCCAAAACAAAGTGGTGTTATTAGCTAGTTTTAGAAAATACACTTTTCCCAAAAGGTTTCCACAATTTTGGCCACTACTGTAGTACTCCTCCTTCTTTCTATTTTCCCCACAACGACAACTCTGTGAGGTGGGCTGGACCGACCGAGAGGGACTGGCCCAAAGTCACTCACTTTGCTTTCAGGGCTGAGGTGGGACTAGAACTCACCCTCTCCTGGGTGATTGGCCCAGTCTCACCCAGCCGGCTTTCATGCTCAAGGCCGGACTAGAACTCCCTAGGCCAAACTCTTCAGTGCAAAACATTTTATGCTTTCTCTCCCAAGGCAATGATGACCTTATTACAGTATTACCTTATTATAATGATTACAGTAATTACCACCCCCACACCTCAGATCACTCTCCATTTTTAAGCTCACAATGTCTTCCCTTCTGCTCGGCAACTGCTGGGAATTATTACACCTTTTGAATATGGATGGATGCAGGCAGTGATTTTGCCTCACAGACGGTTGCAGAGAAACTGGCCTCCCAGTTCATCTCAGAAGGCAAACCAGGCCCAAGAGCAGGCTGCACCTCTCAACCTTGGCAAATGAGATGGGTGGACTTCAACTCCCAGAATTCCCAGCCACCTATGCTGGCTGGGGAATTCTGGGGGTTGAAGTCCATCCATTTTAAAGCAAGCTGGCTGGGGAAATCTTGGGAACTGAAATCCACACATTTTCGGAAGCTGACTAAGGATTCCCACCAGCCAGAGCAAAAGCTCTCTTTCTTACAAACACACAACATACGTGCAAAACAAAGCCAGTCCCAAGGGGGGCACGGGGCAGTGCCAGTGTTCAGCTTCTGAGCTCCTCTGCGGCGGAGATGAGAGCATCCGTCCCCACGTCATGCCAGCATCGGTGGGCTATGCTGGCTGGGGAATGCTGGGAGTTGAAGTCCACCCATCTTCCAGCTCCCGAGATTGAGAACTCTGCCCGATACCTCTCTCACAATTTCACCCAGTAGCCTTATGTCGCAGACATTAAGCGGAGACTGAGCAATCAATCAGTGGAACGGCTTCCCTCCAGGAGTCCTGGGTGCTCCAACACTGGAGGTTTTTAAAATTGGATAACTGTTTGTGGCATAGAGTCTCCCTGCTTGTGCAGGGGGTTGGACTAGAAGACCTCTGAGGTCCCTTCCAAGCCTGATTAGATTAGATTAGAGCAGAGCAGACCTGGAAGGGACCATGGAGGTCTTCTAGTCCAGCCCCGTGCTCAAGCAGGAGACCCTATATACTGTACCATTTCAGACAACTGGCTGTCCAGTCTCTTCTTAAAGAGCCTCCAGTGATGGAGCACCCATGATTTCTGGTGGCCAGCTGTTCCACTGGCTAATTGTTCTCATTGTCTGGAAATTTCTCCTTAATTCCAGGTTGCTTCTCTCCTTGATTATTTTCCATTTGTTGCTTCTTGTCCTGCCTTCTGGGGCTTTGGAGAACAGGTTGACCCCCTTCTTCTTTGGGGCAGCCCCTCAAATACTCGAAGACCGCTATCATGTCGCCCCAATTCTCCTTTCCTCTAGACCGGCCAAACCCAAATCCTGCAGCCGTTCTTTGTACGTTTTAGTCTCCAGGCCTTTGACCATCTTAGCTGCTCTTCTCTGCACTTTTTCCAAAGTCTCAACATCTTCTTTGTAGTGTGGGGACCAAAACTGGTTGCAGGATTCCAGGGGTGGCCTTACCAAGGATTTACAAAGCAGTACTAATATTTCACGTGATCTTGATTCTATGCCTCTGTTTATACAACCCAGGATTGGCATTAGCTTTTCGGGCTGCTGCCAAAAAGATCTTGTCAAGATCTTTTTGTTGGTCTGTTTCTCTTCTGAATCCCGCTACAGAAAATCTGCTTTGGTTCATTGCCAGTCCGACAGGAGCAAATTGTGGCCAGAAGGTTGCGTTTGTGCAATAAACAGAAGCGTGCGTGCACAGCCACAACAGCTGGAGGAGAGGACGCGGGGGAGAGGGGCGGGGGTGGGTGGGCTGCGGCTGCCAAGCAGAATGTCTCTCTGATGAGCTGGGAGGGGCAGGCACGGCACGCAGGAAGAGTCCGGGGGCCACCCGGGAGGCTGCACTGGGCGTAATCCAATCGCCACCGCAGTGCGATGGAACAAGGCAGCGAGCCAGTAGCCACTTGATTGAATTAGGCGGACATAGATTTAAAAAAAAAACAAAAAAAATTAAATTAAATTTAAAAAGATAAAATAAGGCCCGTAGGCTGGTTTGCTGGCCGGGCTGTTGGAGGGGCAGGGAAGCCCCTTTGAGAGCCCCCTCTTCCCCAGGCAGGATCTGCACTATTCTGGGGGTAAAGAGGGACCCCCGTGTGCAGCTCCTTGGTTGCAGGAGGAGACACGGGTGACATCCGTCCTCGTGGGCACACGGCCACGCCTGCCACTTTTCCCACTGATGTTCTCAGCATTTTATGTATCACGCACTCGTGCTCCACGTCACCAGGTTGGGAAACGCTGTCCACGAGGAAAGCTAAATACAAAATGCAGAATAACAGAGTTGGAAGGGACCTTGGAGGTCTTCTAGTCCAGCCCCCTGCTCAAGCAGGAGACCCTGTACCATTTCAGGCAAGTGGCTGTCCAGTCTCTTCTTAAAAGCCTCCAGTGATGAAGCACCCACAACTTCTGGTGGCCAGGTGTTCCGCTGATTAATTGTCCTCACTGTCAGAAAATTCCTCCTTAGTTCTAGGTTGCTTCTCTCCTTGGTTAGTTTCCATCCGCTGCTTCTTGTCCAACCTGTTGCCAATAACCATGATACAGGTAGTCCTCGGGTTACAACTATTCATTTGCTGACTATTCAAAGTTACCACCGCACGGAAAACAGTGACTTATGACTGTATTTCATACTTACAACAGTTGCAGCCTCCCCATGGTCACCTGATCATAATTCAGGAGCTTGGCAACTGGCTCATATTTTTATTTATTTATTTATTTATATTTGAATTTATATACCGCCCTTCTCTCCCTAGGGACTCATATTTATGACAGTTGCAGTGTCCCCGGGGTCACGTGATCTTTTGTTATGCTGGCTGGGGAATTCTGGGAGTTGAAGTCCACAAGTCTTAAAAGGGACCCCTGTTCTAGTTCAAACACCCCCTCCCCAAGCTTAAGGAGCTTAGTCCAGGGGTGGGCAACGGTGGCTCTTTTACAACCTGTGGACTTCAACTCCCAGAATTCCCCAGCCAGCATAGCCCACCGATGCTGGCATGACGTGGGGACGGATGCTCTCATCTCCGCCGCAGAGGAGCTCAGAAGCTGAACACTGGCACTGCCCCGTGCCCCCCTTGGGACTGGCTTTGTTTTGCACGTATGTTGTGTGTTTGTAAGAAAGAGAGCTTTTGCTCTGGCTGGTGGAATTCTAGGGGTTGAAGTCCACAGGTTGTAAAAGGGCCACCGTTGCCCACCCCTGGCTTAGTGGCTTAAGATCAGGGAAGCTCTTGCTTTCCACAGACAGCTGGGCCATGCCTCCCCCTCCCACCCCACAAGAGCAAAGCAACCTGCCCTTTTCTTTCCAGTCCTTTTACGACGACATCAACTTGGTCACCACATGACAAAAAAGACATGGAGACTTTGGAAAAAAGGACAAAGAAGAGCAACTAAGATAATCAAAGGCCTGGGGACAAAGGAGGGTTGCAGGAGTCGAGTCTAGTCTAGGGAAAAAGAGCACCAGGGGGTGATAGCAGTCTTCCAATATTTGAGGGGCTTTCACAAAGGAGGAGAGGATCAACCTCTTCTCCAAAGCCCCTGAAGGCAGGACAAGAAGCAACGGATGGAAACTCATCAAGGAGAGAAGCAACCTGGAATTAAGGAGAAACTTCCTAACGGTGAGGAGAGTTAACCAGTGGAACAGCTGGCCCCCAGAAGTTGTAGGTGCTCCAACACTGAAGGTTTTTTAAGAAGAGACCGAACAGTCACTTGTCTAGAATGTTCTAGGGCAGGGGTGTCAAACTTGCGTCGTCACGTGACGTATTGGGACTTTCCCCCTCCCTTCCCTAAACCGGGTGGGGCCAGCACCAGGGATGAAATCCTGCAGGTTCTGACAGGTTCTGGAGAAACAGTAGCGGAAATTTTGAGCAGTTCGGAGAACCGGCAAATATCACCTCTGGCTGGCCCCCGAGCGGGGAGGGAATGGAGATTTTGCAGTATCCTTCCCCTGCCACGCCCACCAAGCCACGCCCAAAGAACTAGGGGCCTGGTAGCTCAGCAGACTGATAGCATTGTGATTAACACCAGCTGCCTGCAATTACTGTGAGTTCAAATTTCGCCAGGCTCAAGGTCGACTCAGCCTTCCATCCTTTCTAAGGTAGGTGAA